TAAAAGTTTTAAGCGGGGTATGATGAAGCTCATGAAGCAGGGAGAGTGGGACTAGTAAGACCAGTGAATGTGGGGCCAAGCTGGTTTGATCCCGCAACCACAATTTTTGGGGAGTGTACACACACACACCCACCACACAATCTAAAAAGAGGGCATTTACAGTTTTTATTTTACAGAAATTTGGGTGAGGCGTGAGCATGGTGTTAAATGGATCAACCTGCCCGAGAGGGAAAATTAAAACCCTATTTACCTCGCGTGAATTTTTTTTGCAGTTTAAATCTAGTTATACTCTTGACCTTGTTAACAACTATACAGACCCTAGTGCAATTGAAGTACCTTTTAATTTTTTTTTTTTTATTTATAAGTTTTTTTCCAGTTTTACTTTAGCTATTCTGTCAATATTAGACAACAATAAAAACTTTATTAGGGCTTAGTGCAATTACAAAAGTGAGTTGGTGCCACTGCAATTTTTTTTTTTTTTTGTATTAGTTTATACTAGCTACTTTAGTCATTCTAGCAAACACTAGACAATATCAATTTCATTATGTTTATTAGTGACTATCTTATAGGGCCAGAGTTTCTTTCGGTAAACTTATCCAAAACCCCCCACCATACGAAATCAGTACTGAACTCACCCCAAAAAATACGGATAAAACAATAAATATTTAAAATAAAAGTGAATGTCACGTTGCCCTGTTAAACCTCCATAATTAACACACAAAAAAAACTTTTGGAAAAAACTGCCTTTATACCGACACAAAGCCCGCACTATCCCGAAAAATGCTAAAAGTCTATCGTCTTAACTCACTCAGGTCCTTAAGCAAAATATGGTACCCCTGGCATCCCTTTAGTCATAAGACACCCTTCTCCCGCATTATTCTTAGAGACTGGCTTAAGAGGAACAAAGATTTTACCCACTACCGAATAACAGCAACCAAATGCAGACCTTTCCCGTTGGGGGGGGGTCTCAATTATTAAAACCAACTATCTTGTAAAGCACTAATTGTTTTGTGTGAATATGGGGGTACATTTTTTTAATTTTACTGTAAAAACCCCAAAACGCCCATAAAAGTCGGTGTATATCGGTACCCCACACAAACATCCCAAAAATTTAGTGAGAAACTAAAGTCACTAATAAAAACAGACAAATGAACAAGCACACCTTCTCTTGTGGAGATTCAAATCAACCCTTTGGCTACCGAATCAGACTTAATGATTCACAAAAAATATAAAAAAGACTTCTCATACCCAAAAATAACAAACCAACCCGGTGATGAGAAAGTCAACCATAATGACACATATGGGCCCTTACTAGCCCCCCCCCCTTAAAACAGGGGTTAAACACAGCGCCTACTGACCACTACCCCAACCCTTCCCCCTTTTAAAAAATTTGTAAGCCACCCTTTGGGGAAAACAACAAAGTTTCATTTGATCCTGACGGGCCCGATAAGGAATTTACGCAGACCTAGAGACTGTTGATGGCTACAGAATTCTCCAAAAACCAATGGTATTGCTTGGACAGAAAATTTTTTTTAACAAAATACTTAGGGCTATACAACAAAAATTGTCCTAAAAAAACGAAAAAGATCACGAATAAAGGGTCGGTTGCCCAAGGCTAACCCGCAGATTTTGAATTCATTGATAAGAAATACCAAAATGAAAAGAATATAGACAGGGCTTAATACACGAAGATATTCTTAAACAATATTAACGTTTCACCAAATTTTAAAAAAGAAAGAACAACTTATACTCCCGCAGATTCACTGACACAAGAGGAGTATAAAAAGACCCGGAAAATACTTTCCCGATTTGGGGACCCAAAATGAAAAAAAAAAAGAATATTGTTTAACTAAAACCTCATGAAACACCCTGCACCCCCTGAACAGGTAACAAGATAACGACTTTTTCTCAAAAATAGGTTTAATTCGCAGTAAAAACCACATCCAATGCCCGTGCCGGGGGTACCCAGATGGGGGTTCCAAATTCCTTCTATTTGTACAACGAGCCCCCGGAATCACCCCCGATCATAAAAAAGTCATTAGAAAAACTCTAGAAACGTTTCCTCCCACCCTTATTTTACAAGTGAGCGGCCTGTCCTTTTGCTGCTGTTACATTACTTTTTAAAAAAGTCACTAGAAACTGCACTTTCCCCAACTATCAAGACAGCAAGAGTTACCCAATACTAAAGGTGGTGATCCTACAGACAAAAACTTTAGGCAAAATCAAACTTATCTTTTCTATCCACAAATTTTGAGAAATCGTGCACAGGAGATATATTTATTTTTACGTCAAAAACATACTAACCCCCGCCCAAATTTTGGATTCGGGGAAAAAAAAAAAGCACTAATGATGCAATTATAAAAATTTGACCTGCTTTACAAAGGTTGGAAAATTAAAGGAATATCTGAGGAAATTTTTTTTGCTAAGAAAAACGTTTTTAAAGGGGCACGGCATCCTATCACAAAATTTACCCTATGGATAAAAGGGCCCTGGCTTGCATATTTTAAATCCTACCTTTCTAATAGGATCAGTATGCCATTAAAGACACGCCTATCAATACGGCCATTGATAAATGGAGTTCGAGGGAAGTGTCCTTGGGCCAAAGTCTTCCTATTTTACATAATGACTTCCAAAATATCCCCAAAACCCGAAAACCCCTTCCTTTTTGACGACACGATTATGCTTCTCCCCCTAATTTTCCCCCTCAAAACCATTTTTAACGAGGAGTGCCAAAATATCGATTGGATGAAGCAATAAACTTTCACTTAAAACTGGCAAACCCACTTTTTATGTTTGGTAGCAGAGCAGATGTTGGGGAAAATTAACATTAAAATCGAAACCCTCTAATTGCCAGCATAAAGAGGGCAAATTCCTTTATCTTACCTCGACAACAAACCCAAATTTTAGCACCCCTATCCAAACACAAAAAAAAAAGTATCCAAAAAGGTGGGGTCCCTTCAAGATACGATCTACGTACCGCAAATCCCTTCTCACATATACCATTCATTATTAACCCTACCCCCCTATGTATCTGTGCTTGGGGTTCAAATGCAGCAAAAAACCTAAGCCAATAAAAACCAACAAAAAGCCGCAGAAAAAAATAACATAAATCCCCTCCCCGGGAACACCCCCCCCCCCTTCATAGATCTAAATTTATCCTGTTAGAACATCCACACTTATATGTGCAATCTATTCTAAGGCCCTTAAAATTCCCCTATTTAAAACCCTTTACCAAAAAGTTTCTTGATAGTTGTGACAGGATCACAGGCATAACACCGACCCCCCCATCTCTATGCATTCCCGTGTTCGACCCTTAAACCTTTTCAAAAATTCAGTGTATTTCAAAGAACCTAAAATCTGGAACACCTACCCGAAAACTTAGAACTGGAAATTCATCCTTTCAAAATACAGTTAGAAAAACATCTCCCGACCCCCCGACAACTAAACACATGATAACACCGGGGGATTAAAAATTACCACCACTGACTATAAAACCCTAAATTTAATCTTTAAACTTAAAATAATAAACCTAATATCAAAGTTTGCCTATGTTTCTCAAATTAGACACCCTTTTATTGTGCCAAAAAAAAGCATTCGCATTGTAAATCAAAAAATTTTGTGTGTCATTAGCCCTTTTACTAAATTTTAAGGATTAGTTAAGAATTAAATTTGTCTGTCGAAATGTAGCCAGTAGGGTCTAGTGGCCCCCCCTGTAAATTTGTATTTTATAACATGCAAACACAAAATACCCAAAAAACCCGTAAACCCCCATTGTAACCCCTTTTAGGAATAAAATTGAAATTTAAAAGAAGTAGACCCCAGAAAAAACCCGGACCTCAGAGAGGGAAGCCCTATGTAGCTAACGAAGCTTAACAAATACGTCTTTCAAACTGGAGAAGAAAAAAACGGAAGACCCGAGACAGCACATTCGGGATGTAAAAAACTGAAATGGGGATTAAAATCAGGGAGTGAACATTAATGAACATATCAAAAGGGGCCTTAAACCCCGCGAAAAGCATGTGCAAATCAGCAAATTTGGAATGTTGTCAGATACTTTATTAAAATAACCTTCAAAATTTTTACCAAAAATTATTAGAATCCAAAGGTTCTGTATTTGCGGGGGAGTTTGAAGGAAAGAACCAATGCTCCAAATAAGACTAGAGAAAACATGTTTAAAAGATACTAAAATTTTTAAATGGTAAGAAAAAATTTAAAAAGCCAGACGGGGGAAAGGAAGAGAGAGAGAGAGAGAGAGAGAGAGAGAGAGAGAGAGAATACTTCAAATTGTTTAGAGTTGTAAATGGACTGACCTGTGAGAGGCATAGTGTTATCGTTTTAAAATAATGGGAAAGTGGGGTAAAACCTGGGAGTCCTGCAGAAATTTTGGGGGGAAAGAAGGGGAATTTGGTTTGTAAAGGAAAAGGGGGGGTTGCTCCGTTCACTAGATTAAGGTATTGTCTCTCGTCAATTTCCCTTCCCCCAATCCCTCCCCAAAATCCCCCCCCCTCTCACCTTTGAAGAAAAGGTAGTAGTGAAGGTAAAGCCATAAAAAGAGTAGAGGTGACAAGGCCAACTTTTTTTTTTTTAATCAAGGTGGTGGCGGGGGGGGGGGGGGGGGTTTGTAAAACCCACGGAAAAGCAACACCATCCCACACTACTATGGTAAAAGGAAGCCCAAAACTCAGTAAACAAGTGCTGAGTACAGAGCATGAAGTTTTAGACTTAAAAATTGACAGGATAGTACCTGCGAACCCCCTACTTCACCGAAGTGATTTTTTGTGAGTGTTGACATCTCTTCCACATGTTGTTATGAACAACATTAACCAAAGAATCTAGTTCTTATATTTTCTCCAATGTAAGAAGAGTCAAAATTTTATTATGTATTGTAGCGCACGAAAAGTGGCAAGAAAACTGCTTTCAGAAATACCAATTAGTCGAGCGGGTCGAAGCCAGAGTCATGGAGCGGGCGCAGTGCTGGGGTTTTCCAGGTATAACCCCGCAGTAGAGAGACTGGTCTCAGCTGTTTAAGCCGAGGTGTTGAGGTGGGAGTGTGTGTAGAGCTGCACCAGACATCACACACACCTTCACCTGTCCACTACACTGTAACTCGCCTAATGTGAACATCCAGCTACCCGACACGCACTCTATAACGACCGTAGTGTTTCCAACGAACCGTGTGGGAGCTGCCTAGTATCTCAGTGGCACAAGACATACTTGCACCTAGTTAGTTGACTTGCAATTATTTTCCCGTAGACTGAAGTGATCGACATTAAACAGTGAATTCGCCTTCATAAAAAATCGTAAGTACTGAGCTTCTACTGATGTGCAGTTCAGAAAAAAAAGGTCTATATTTTGATTCATACAGCATTATAATGTGGAATTTTTTGTGGGATATTATTACAAGGCGCCTGAGCTGGAGACCAACTTTTAGTTCTTAATATAAGAACTATTATTTTTATTAGCCACCAGGCCACGGGGCTGGGTGGTTAAAACTGTCGCTTCACACGGCGATAGTCCAGGTTCGATTCCCGGCGAGGGTAGAAACATTGGGCGTGTTTCTTTACACCGGTTGTCTATGTTCACCCATCAGTAAAATGGGTACCTGAGTGTTAGTGGATGGTGTGGGTCGCATCCTGGGACAAAATTGACCTAATTTGCAAAACGAGTGGCTTTCTATAGTAGTATGTCACTGATGTCAGCTATGGTCTGTATACCTTGTACATGTATTGTAAAAATAATGATATTACTATTATTAGTAGTAGTACTGTAAGTAAAATATATTAATATAAAAATAATTATTATTATTATTTTATTATTATTATAGGTGATGTGCCAGTGTTAAGTTGGAATCCAGGTGTGTGTGTTTTATCAAGGATACAACATCTATCCTTTTTCCTGTGGAGTTAAAGGTCACGTGTTTACTTAGAAGTGTTCAGCTCCGTCATGTCGACGGCCACGATCAACATTGTTGTATACACATTCACAACACTTAATGTACACAGTATATACTTGATGTATGACGATGCAATGTAAATTATAATATTTATACAAAACTGAAGTAACAAATATATCGGTGAGATGTTATGACTGATGTTTGTATGAAATTCTTATGCCAAGACCAGTCTAGCTTATAAACACAGTAACCTATATGACGCGCTGCACCCCCTCCCCCCCGCAGTTTGTCTTGTTTACGCGGTAATTTTTATAACAACCATGACCTTACTCATTCACGTATATATCACCTTTGTGACTCGTTCAACTGATCTCTTGCTCACGTAGACTATTTTTAACACTCTACCAAGCAGTAAACCCTAGGGTTTACACATTTAATACATACAACTATGTAAGAAATAAACATATGTAACTAGGAGGTATATTAGACTTTTGGAATCTGGTGTGGGAACATGTCATCAATATATGTCCTAGTATATATTTCTGGTATAGTTAATATACGTAAGGTAAAACTGGAACTAGGATATAATACAGGGAAGCACTGATTTGGCAATAGAGTTGCGGATTAGTGTAACAAACCCCCAGGTAGCGTCACTCACGCGAGAACTTTAAGTAGCTTTAAATATTGGTTTGGACGGGTATGAGTGAGTTAGACCTGCCTACTATGGGCAAGGATAATTTACTAGTAGGCCATACTAAACAGTTGCTAGCAAATGAGTCACTGAAGACATCCCATGTGCCAAGATACCACTGTGTCGCATTGTCTGACACAGCAACACACTGGTACCTTGATACAAGGTACCATTGCGTTCCATTATTTTCTTATATGAATGCTTGGTTGGTCACTGCTGTCGTGGTTCACCAGTGACTTGGTACCTCTCAGTAGTTTCTGCAGCTGGTGGGAGGCTCGAATGTGATTGCCTCTCATTCCACAAGTGCTTTGTGACCTCTGAGGGTTTAGCTCTCCACCATACATCAGATCATAAGAATTAATTATAATGAAAATTACAATTAATAATAATAATTTTCTCATTCAATTATATTTTCTGAATCAGAACAATTCCGGCTTTCACCTTGGTTGGTTTTCCCAAAGCGCGCGCGCACGCACACATGAGCTGAGTCTCGACCCCTGCAACCACAATTAGGTGAGTACACACACACACGACGAAGACAGGATGTTCCAGAGATGGGACACAGCAACAAGGGGACACAGTTCGAAGTTGAAAACACAGATGAATCACAGGGATGTTAGGAAGTATTTCTTCAGCCACAGAGTAGTCAGGAAGTGGAATAGTTTGGGAAGCGATGTAGTGGAGGCAGGATTCATACATAGCTTTAAGCAGAGGTATGATGAAGCTCACGGTTCAGGGAGAGTGACCTAGTAGCGACCAGTGAAGAGGCGGGACCAGGAGCTAGGACTTGACCCCTGCAACCTCAGCTAGGCGAGTACACACACACACACACACACACACACACACACACTATGCAAATATCGCAAACCAAGCGATACAGGATGAAAAACAACCATGGGGGGGCGTAGAATGATAGTTGTAGGCCTTTCGTGTTGCAGTCAACACATCAGGAGCTCGTAAAGTTGCAGAAAAAGGATGTCCGAGCCAACACGATCCCAGAGGATGTATTCACTGGAGTGAGGGGGGAGACAGACAGACAGACACACACACACACACACACACACACACACACACACACACACACACACACACACACACACACACACACGCGCGCACACGCACACACGGGGGCGTTGACCCCCCTGAAAGACCCTCCAGGCAGACTCCAAGTAAAGGTTTCTTTGTCTATTTTGAGTCTTTGTTTTGAATCTTACTTGTTTGCTTTACTATGACTTATTTGCTTTGAATCCTCCTGTGACTTGCGTTTTTCTTCTTTCTTAAAAATTTTCGTCTATTATTATTTGATTTATTTTCCTTAAGTCTATTTTCCGCTTCCTTCTCTTCCTCCTCTTTCTCTTCCTCGTCCTTTCTTTCTCCTACTTCTCTTCCTTCTCATTTGTTCTTGGGGAAAGAGACTGTCTTTACCAGACATGAACTGCCCAACTAGGCTTGATAGTTTAGCGTTGGCAATCACATTAAATTAGAACCCCAAGAGGGGCTCTGTTTACTAGACAAACACCAAACCAGAGGCAGCGGCCTCCGTGTCTCCGCAACCTGTGTCTGGTGGTCTCTGTCTTCTGGAAGGTGTCGAGGAAGAACACAAGATGGTTTGTGGCTGGTGGTAGACACAGACACAAGTAGAGATAGACTCCTAAGCAGACACACACACACACACACACCACACACACACACACACACACACACACACACACACACACACACACACACACACACACACACACACACACACACACACACACACACACACACACACACACAGACACACACAGACACACACACACACACACACACCAGGCCTAGTGTCTAATCGACATGTGCCGAGGACAAAATGGTAACTAACACGCGTGCGCGCGCACAGTGTCAGAAAAAAAGGAAACAGAAAATGCCCCCAGGCATACCAGTACCCATAGCCAGAAAGGTTGAATATTATAGCATTAGAAAAATCCCAGACGCGCTGGTATTGTAATAGTAGCGTATTATAGAACAGATCCTAAGATAACACTTGAAACCAAGAATATTCTGGTCCTTCCATACAATGAAAATTTATTTATCCTGCCGAATGCCCTTAAAAGATTTAATGTACAAGTAGTTTTTAAAAATTCTGATAAGGAATTTACCCCAAGAGAGTTATGGTGGTGTCTACAGAATTTGTTGCAACGGTTGCAATCTGTCCTATGTGGGACAGATAGGAATATCTTTAGAAAATAGAATATCACAACATCGCTATTCAGTAAATACAGCACAGGAGTCGAAGGCGATTTTCAAGCACATTATATCTTTTAATAACCTGGCAAACTGGCAAGAAGAGTTATCTTCCCTTGTCTCTTGGCTTGAAAGAAATATTGTAGAAACGGGAATTACTAAGCAAGATAAGCATTCATCATACAATATCAGTGGCGGGTTGTTCAAATTAGAGGCATTTTTAGTTGAGGCAAAAGTACACGGTCAAAAATTGGGCTCGTATTTAAATGCATTGGACTGTCTTAAATGTAGTGCCACACCGAGGAATTAGGGCCTATTTTCCTTCATTTTCTGAAGGTTGAACCAGAGTTTGACTCTGAATCATGTCTTCCTTGTAATCACAGATGCCTCCCTCTTTAAATGAGTTTATTTTAATGAGCCCTTTTTTCTTTGTATAACTTATTGAAGTCTCCCCTTTAAATGTTCCCATTTTCTCGTCCCTTTAAATGGACCTGCTTTCTCGTGGATGGTACTCCGTAATTGCCAGTAACTTCCAGACCACTGCTAATATAATTATTTATGTAAAATTATTTATAGCTGAGTCTGGCGGAATTTTTGATAGTTGTTAGGTTACTTTCGTTTGGGCTACTGTTACAATATCAGCGTTTGTGGGATTTTTCTAATGTTACAATATTAACCTTCCTGGCTATGGGTACTGGTATGCCTGGGGGTATGTCTCTCTCTCTCTCTCTCTCTCTCTCTCTCTCTCTCTCTCTCTCTCTCTCTCTCTCTCTCTCTCTCTCTCCCTCTCTCCCTCTCTCCCTCTCCCTCTCTCTCTCTCTCTCTCTCTCTCCCTCCCTCTCCCTCTCCCTCCTCCCCCCTCCCCCCCCCTCCCCCCTCCCTCCCCCCTCCCTCCCCCCTCCCCCCCCCTCCCTCCTCTCACTCCCGTGAATACATCCACTGGGATCGTGTTGGCTCGGACATCCTCCTTTTTTCTGCAACTTTGCAAGCTCCTGATGTGTTGATTGCAACACGAAAGGCCTGCAGCTATCATTCTACTCCCACATGGTTGTTTTGCCGCGCGCGCGCACACACACACACACACACACACACACACACACACACACACACACTAAAGGAAAAAGATCTGGGGGTGAGTATAACACCGAGCATATCTCCTGAGGCGCACATCAATCAGATAACTGCTGCAGCATACGGGCGCCTGGCAAACCTACGGATAGCGTTCCGATACCTCAGTAAGGATTCGTTTAAGACTCTGTACACCATCTACGTCAGGCCCATACTGGAGTATGCAGCACCAGTTTGGAATCCACACCTAGTCAAGCACGTCAAGAAATTAGAGAAAGTGCAAAGGTTTGCAACAAGACTAGTCCCAGAGCTACGGGGATTGTCCTATGAAGAAAGGTTGAGGAAATCGGCCTGACGACACTGGAGGCCAGGAGGGTCAGGGGAGACATGATAACGACATATAAAATACTGCGCGGAATAGACGA